GAGTAACAGGAATTACTATAATTATCATTGGACCATTACAACAGTGTGTGTATGTATATTCCTATTATAATATTTTAATATACTGTTATTTTTACGAAATAACATGTGAATTCACGGTATTGGTAGCCATCCGGATCCAGAAATGTGTGGTCTAGACCAGTGGTATTCAACCTTTTTTGTTCGCGTACCCCCAGATATAATTTCTCTTCAACTTCCGTGCACCGACCAGGCCGTGCCGAGTGCAACTATCCACAGCGCTTGGGAGCTCAGCTAGTAAGTAATCTGGTCTCTTCTGTATGTTATTGACTATCAGCTTCTTAAAATGGATTGTGCTTCATGAACTTAGGCTATCTACACTTTCCAAATTAAAGAACGTTAGGTGTCATCTTCTGCTCAGATGTTTGTTTCATGCAAGTGAGGTGTAGCGTGTGCGATCCGACAGTACTACCAACTTAATTCTGTAAGCACTGATTTAGCGGCATACTTATTAGGACTAAAAACACGAGCGTGGCAGAATGAAATGAAGTGGACTGCCGGTATAATTGCGGTGGACAAGGAAAATATAAATACTTGTTTTATCATTCAGACGAGGACTTGTATATACGTATACACAAAAGTACGTCATTCAGTCTCAAAGAAGGAGGTTAAGTAGAAGCAGGACAACAACCTCACAATGTAGAAGAGGGATGAGGAATAGAGACTGCACGTAAAAACAAGGTGTTCTCACACAAGACGGTGGCTGAAGTAGGCTGGATGGACGAAGGGAACTGCGGTAAGACTAGCTTTTTGTTAACGAAGGGTCCCGTCTACGGAACGGGGTTAGTCTCTCAGGGTGCCTGCTCTAGTACTGTGGGAAAATCATGAAAAACACCTTCATCACCTGTAGGTAACATTCGCCTGGGAAGTAGTGGTTGCATTTGAGGGACTGAAAACAAATTGAAGTCTCCTTAAGGATCATAAAGACACCAAGGCAACACTTGCTGAGACCCAGCTGAGCAAAATAGTTTTATTGACTTTGCCTAGATGACTGAATTTATATTCGTCATGTACTTGTACCCTATAGTGACTATCTTGACTCGAATGTTTGTGGTATTCTTTAGTTCTTCCAGGCATGTCGTACCTTAAAATAGTCCACGACCATCTTTCACATATTTCGCTACTACATATCCTGTGAGGTTTGCACAGTATGAAGCCGCTGAATCACTTATTCAGATCTTTCCTCCGTCTCAGTTGGTGCGTTGTTGTTCAGTCTGTAGCCTACGTTTGTGTGTAGTTGAATGGTTTTACGTGAAATAACAGAGGTTATTACACCCACTTGTCGGAAAACAGTTTCTTGTCACATTTACTTTATTTAATGTCTGTTGCTTGTAACTGGAACAAGTAATTAAATTTGGTTTTGTGTTTCAACAATTCGGTCAACCACATTGAGTCGTTTTTCAATTACCTGTTCTAATTAGACTGGTAGAAAATGGACGAATTTTTTTACAATTTTTAAAACTGATGTTAACCCACGGTTTTATTGTACTTCATTATGATTTGACGATCGTTGCTTTGTAACAATTAACCTCGTAGGAAAACTGCTTTAGTTTAAGGCACAATGTTTATTTTTATCGAATTTACGAGTGTTAGTGTATATTCACTTTGGGGGCAATAAGCAAAAGAATAATGAAATAATTTATAAAGTTACCCAGCCGATAACTAATACCACGGGAAGAAAAAAAATTACTTTAGTCCCTGATTTTGGTGACAAAAATTTGACTTGGAAACCACAGTAATACGCAGCGGAAGACTATTTTATACACAATTTATTTTACTATTACTACATAGTTTAAAAATATTTACTCCTTCCCCAATATTAAGTCGAGAAGAATGAGATGGGCTGGGCATGTAGCGCGCATGGATGGGACAAGAGGTGTGCACCGGGTAATGGTCGGGAAGCCTGAAGGGAAGATACCTCTGGGGAGACCTAGACGTAGGAGGGAGGATAGGAGTTGAACGCGATTGGATTTTGATGGCCCAGGACAGGGTCCGATGGAGGGCTTTGGTTAATTCGGTAATGAACCTCCGGGTTCGGTAAGCCATTTAGTTAGTTAGTTAGTTATTACTATATAGTTATCGAGAATCAGGCTCTCGGAATAAATTCTGGATTTTTTAATATTATATGTACTTGGTAGGATTGCTTAAATGAGGGATTTATCCACCTTGAGGAAACACAGGCAATCGTGTGTTCATTTTTAAATAGTCTAAATTCACAAGGAAACTTTCTTCCTGCAAAATGACGGTATAAAGATACGGTGTAACTCGTTTATCGTTTATGGGCCCAAGCTGTTCACAGTGACCGAATAGGAAACGATGTTTAGCCTCAGGAAATGGGAACATTCGAGAAAATTACATTTTGAAAACAGTACCAAGTGTAGAACTCAAGGCGTTTAATTCTAAAGGGTTTTGACGACGGTAGTTTACACTTAAAATTATTCATTGTCAGGATTCTTTCCATCATCTGTTCTTTAAATCCATGACGTTTCGGAGGCTTGTCCAGTGACAGAGACTAGGTCTATCTAAGGGACCCAACCTCTCACCTGAAGACGGAGACAGAACCAGCCTCCGAAACGTCGTGGTTTTAAAGAACAGATGACGGAAAAAGTCCTGACAATGAATAAATTTAAGTGAAGGCGTTTAATTCTATATGTTATCTCACTATCTTTTATACCACTTGGATATATTTTTCCCCTCCTACTTTTTCTTACATTCTTATATTTTCTTTTTTTAATCCTTTCAACACATTTGATGTTCTGAAACTCTGTAGTATTCTTTGCTAGTCGGATGTGGCCCGAGAGACGAAGCTTGAGTATATCGTTTCGTCCATCTTATCTTCTGCCATCTGCAATGCAGTTATAGAGAAAGAACTCCCTTCCGCCGCCAGGTGACAAGGTTCTAGTACTTTGAATATCCGTGGTTTCCTGTATTATACATGTTTATAAAATGCTTAATATTGGCCTAATCGTTCTGGCAAACATTGGCTTTTCAGTTGAAAACTTGACGGTCCGTGAATGAGCAGGAGTCTATGGAACTGAAATGTAACTGTGTTTTTCCCACATACATCGGGCTGAAGTGTCTAACCTCCTCCCCTATTACCTGTTCTGAAACAACTTGCAGGCTGGGAATCACCGACACTGCGCGACCTGGTGTATTGTGTTGTTGTCGGTGTGGGAAATGACCGTCTCTCAAAGTTCTTCACGTCTTGTGGTCCTCCCTCACCAACACTCACAGTGAGACTTGAAAAGTGCGTGTAATAGGCGGACAGCTCATCAGGGGGAAGTGGTTAAGTCTTGCAGTTCTTTCATCTCCCAAACAGTCTGTTTGCGTGAAACTATCTTACGATAATATCCGTGTTTTACAGAAATGTTTTCTTGTTGTTCGAAACCGTGTAAGGGCGACAGGATTTCAGATTTTTGACTGACTATGGGTTGAACGACCGTGATGCAATTCTTTGTAGGGGCAAAATATTTTTTATCTTAGTCTTTGCGTCCAGACTGGCTCTGGGGTCCACCCAGCCTCCTGTCCACTGGGTACTACCGGGGGGCCCCCATCCTCAGTGGCAAAGCGTCCGGGATATGACGCTGACCAGTCGCTTCTGTATAGGTAAGAGGTCAAGGTGGAGTGGACCTATAACTCCCCTACCCTGTCCGACCTTCCTGCTGTATGGTCAATATGTAACGGAATATCGGACACAATGCAATTTGACGCCTGCAGCGAAGCTGCTGTAATATACCGTTTATGAGAATGAATTATTCCCAAGCGGTAATAATTCAGCTAACACGTCTGGTTTTGATACGCGTGTATTTGTTTCATACTCGGCCACAAAGGCGTGTGGAGAATGTAGAAGTAAAACTTGATTTCAAAATATTTGTAGTAGACAGAAATGATTAGTGACCTCCATGTTCTAACTGTTTTTGTCCCTAAGGAGAGACCTGATAGTTCATAATAAAGACAACAAAATAGTTACTGAAATATTCTTTCACACAGTTTTGTGGCGACTCTATTAAAACAATTTGCAGACTAATTTACTAAGATTTTGTGTGGTAATACGAACTCGGAATGTAGGTATATTCAATTTCCCTTAAGATTTAATTTTTTAAATCGAAATAAGAATATGCTAACCGCGTCCATGTAGCTTCATATTGCAACTGAATCTGATAGACGCTGTTCATTTCTTTGTCCTTGAAGTGAATTATTGACTACCCAAGATTCTTGTATCTGTATAGAATTACGGAATGTATGCAGTTTTAATCCATATTCCTGCTTTCCTCATATATGGGAAACTCGAAAAGTTTATAATACGAAAGGCATACTTGAATTGTAAGTAACCGTTATGTTACACAAAATGATAATTGACGAGGAAAGAAAAATTGTCCTACTTCCTTCCCTTACCCTATCAGGTAAAGTGCTCCTTGCAGGAACAGGTAAATGTTTTCGCAGGTACCAGTTCATTCAAAATAACGCTTTTTTAGCACCTGTGCTGCCCGAACACGTCGGTTGGGAAAGTATGAACGCATGGGAATGTTATCGGGGGCACCTTCCTTGCAGTCGGTGTACAAAGGCAAGGCTCCCATAGAAACAAGTTTGCGTTACAGGTGAGAAGAAGGCGAAACCCAAACCATTACCCAAAATCTTAACCACACAGCGAAACTAAAGTAACAAATGGCTTCATCGGGTATGTAAGTCGTGCATCATATTCTTTCCTCAAGTTAAGGTTGCCCCATACTTCGTTTCGTACTGTTTTCTTATTTCACCTGCTATTTGGCTGCGTTGTTGAACTGTTTGTTTGCTTAACTAACCGGTTACTTGGAACAGAATTCTTCAGGAGGGAGTACAGTTGCTCAGCTACTAAAGAACTTCCCCGCCCTTAATCACGGTTGTCATGAAAGCCTGTTTATCTTGATTCAAATGATTTAAATCATCCAATATATGTTTTAATATATCCTCTTGTCTATGTCTAGGTCTTTCAAGTTGATGCCTTTATCAGCGGGGCGATAAGGCACGCATTGCTCATCAGAGCAATGCGTGCCAACAAACATCTCTGAAAATCTGTAAACTTCTACCAGACCCCAGAATACAACCAAATGTATACTAGCCTCCGTGAGAACCTGATATCTCTCCCAATGGTAAGAAACTGCTTTGTCTAATGTGTCGCACAATGTATTACGTATATCCTACACTAACACCTCGACACGAAGACAGGGAAAGTGTCTGAAATATCTCAACATTTTTATTCAAAGAATGGGCAAAGACTAACAATTTTTTCCCAATATTTTAAGAAATAACGAATGCCAAGGATGAGGAAGGAAAAGGCCGTAACCTATTTCAAGGCACTGCATAGAGCTTACTTATAGGGACTAAGAAGACAACCGAGATTGAAACTACAGACTTCATGAATAGACACATAAATGGTTGTCGTTTCACCGCTGTGTTCGGTGTATAAACAGAAGTGTCGACGAGTCCGTACAGAGAATATGCAAATATGGGCAGCAGTATTTTATTAATGACACTTACCAACACTAAATAATTTGTACTGATATATCATAATTTTTTATCAGAATAGACGGCAGCTGATTTAAAAAGACTTGTGTAACCGTCCAGACATTACAGTTCTGTGTAGCAACGCTGCAAGGACGAGCTGGCCGAAATTCTTCAAAAACAAAGGATCGGCTGTGAAGTGAGAAAGTAGGGGGAGGCCTCAAATGTGGTCTTTTTTGGGGGGGGGGAGTGAGCCAACAGCAAGCAGTGGTGTTCGGGAAGGGTGTCTGGGCAGTCGTAAAGAGTGGTGGAAAGTTTCATGAAGGAGGTTAAGATCTTATAAAATTGTGTAACAAGGAAAACACATAATGAAAGCATAATTGGATCAATAGTTAATCATTATCTGTTCGTCATTCACCCGATCCCCGTGGACGACCTTGAGTCCCTGGCTAGCCGAGGTAAACGACTAACCAAGGACGGTTATACTTGCATACACTGTGAATAAAATTACATGCATTCGGCGAAAATGACCTCTGTGACGATGTATGACGAGTGGAGGTAAAGTTTCACGGCTAGCTTATTCCTCTAGCACTCTTTAGTTACTTACCTGGATTTCATTCAGCTAACAAATGGGTACCGGGGTCCTTTCCCGGGGGTAAAGCCGGCCGGGGCGTGATGCTGACCACTCACCCCCATCTAGTGCCGAGGTCAAGGAAGAGAGGAGCTATACCTCCACTCACCCCAAGCGCCTACATGGCTCATAGTGGGACAGCTTTACTTTACGCTCAGAATAAAGAGCAAAAACTTTCCTAAATACCATTAAAATACTTATATTGTCAATGTAATGAAGTTTGCTTCATAGAGGGAAGAATTGCATTTCCGAATATTGTCAAATTTGCGTTACTTATTATTCTGAGGCTACAATTAAAATGTAGGTAGTATACGCCACGAAAATTACTTTTACTCGACGTCGGAAATAATATATTTCTTTTTCCAAATGTTACGTCTTTCAGTTAATGAAGTAATAGGTATTAAATTTTATAGCCAAAAAACAATTATTATGTTTCTCCTATTTATTCTCCGTTCTATTCCAGTCTTTTCTGTTTTTTCCGCCTTTAAAAGTTCCTGGAATTTTACATACCCAATTATATAATTTTGGGAAAATACCTTAGCAAAACGCATTAGATGATACTATTGTTTAACATTTTAAAGTTTTAAGATTTTCACTGTTTATTGACGGGTCGTATTCATATGGTTATGTAAATAATAAAATACATAACTCTCGATTAGTATACGTATAGCCCAATGTTAAATGTTAAAAGCATTTTAGTACAATATGCGTGAATGAAGTTTAAACCAAAGTGTAGTCTCGTAGTCTTAAGGTATATCTTACAAAACACGACGTAAGCATAACATTTTATGGTAATATATCTTAAGAAAACGTTACTTGAAAAAGTGAAATATATGTGACAGGATGATAAAAATCGATGTGATGGAAAGAACTTTTGGTAATGTTAAGTAAACTGATTTACAGTCAAGTCTAGTGGTGAACTTCGGTGACTTTTAACATCCTGTTTCAGTACCAGGTTTTTCTAATTTACTTATATTAGGTAACTAGTATTTAAAGTTAATTCCATGAAGGCTCACATATAGGTTATTCAGTTTCTTGAGAGGAGATAAGAGGACTTGAGTGGAAATATTACCTTTTTCTATTGTATGGGAGGATTAGTAAACACTACAGCTGAAAATAAACGAAAAGGTACTATATCAACGTCTTTGCGAGAAATGAAAGTCATGTAAAGACAAGACGTCTTTTCGCAGTTATATTATGAACCGTTTCTAAAGACGGCAAATAATTATTCTGAGAGAAAATTCGCATTATGTAATCCACACAAACTTGTTTGGAATTATAAAACAAGATCATACGATAACTTTTGTGTAGAGTAGCCCTTGTTCCACTAAGGAGTGTAAAGTAAAGAGCAACCTTAATATATTTGTTGCCAAAGCTAAAGGTTATGCATGTCTGAATAACTCAGAGCAGAGATTAGATGGGTCATCATTCAGCTGAACCTGGTGGTGGTAGCTCTTACACGAGATCTTAACGTTGAGAAAGTTATTCATCATTATTTTGCGAAGTCATAGCAAAGATGAAGATGTCTGGATAATATTTTTATGTGTCATGTGCTTTACAGCACCAGTGAAACTGCACATGAAGTACTTAATCGAGCGCTTTCTTTACACAAACCATATGTTACGAGACAAGCGAAGAATATCCGAGATGTTGAATCATTGCATGATGGAAATAGGGAGTCAACAGTTAGCAATTTACTACCTGAAACCGAACAGCTCTATAGTTACACTGAAGCTGTATCGGTAAATTTTATAAAGATTATCACGCCGGCAACTAATTACCTCATTCATAACCCAGAAAACGTTTTCATGTTGGGATTTTGGATGAGTGAAATGTGTCTTGTAAAAAGTTTCTTAAATGTGTCCTTTCCGACTTTTCATAACCCACTGTTGTGGATGTTCACTTGTTGCAGACAGAAACCCCTTGTTACCACGCTAATCGCAACACAATTCACATAGCCAGAAAATATTTTGTTGTATTTCCGTAAACAATCCCAATCCTCACATATAAAAATACCTGACGGGACTGAGGCAAACCAGGAAGATTAACGCTATAGATAATTGCTCTTAGTACCTCCACTATGATCATTGCTCACGTCAAAGTGCGTAGTTGGCGACAAGCTAGCGAAGCGGGTGGGGGAACTTCGAGCTGTTGGCGTACAAGGCGACCGACAGGGCATTGATTACCACGAGACAGGTCATTCACTCAGGCAATCAATCACAACAGACGGCAAGGAACTGCGTGGAGTCGGTTCGTGGTACCGACTAGGCTGGACCAAAGCTAGTGTCACTGTATCGTTGGCCCATGTCCGGAAAATGGAAATTGTTATCGACGGAAAAGTCTTCTAATTTGAAACTCCTCGTAGACATACACAGATACAAAAGTTTCAGAGGAACATACTGTTTCCATTTCCCCCCTGAAGAAGGAGGTAGTATATACCTTCGAAACGTTAGTATATACCTTAAAGTTCATACTATTTTGCGACCCAGAAGACAAACAGTGACATCTTCATCGCCGTGAGAACTTCAAATATTGTAGCTACTTGAAATAGTTCTCTGATCACAAAAGAATTAATGATTACGTGGGCTTCAAGTGATAAAGAGTTAATAGTTTGAAGGTATAACCATGTAGCAACTGCCTTATAACATTATAACGTAACACTAAGAACATGATCTAAAAGCAATTAGCTGGTGCTCAGTCCGTCAAATGATTTTCTTTTATAAAGATATAGCAATTTATAAGCTTAATCCTAAATCACCCAACATTACGTTTATGTAATCAATTTAATTGAGACATTTCATGGAGCAGAGCCCGGGTTTAAAAATTTTCAGTCGCGCATGTGGCCAAAAATGTCTCATGCCACATAATCTTTAAAAAACATAATGAATTTGACATTTATTTTAAATTATTTAAATACCATTTTCTCGTAACATTTTTGCATGGCCATGAAAGTTCCACTACTTTACTTAAGGAGGTTGTTGGAGAGATGTTTTAGAGCTTAAAAATAAAAATGTTTCTTTTCAATTCGCTGTTTTTTTCGAGTTAAAACATTTTGAGTCAATGTCACTTTAATTATTGAGATTATCGAGATTTCGGAAATGGAAACAATTTGTTTTAACGTAACATACAAATTGATTTCTTTGCTTTCGAGAAAATTGGAAGAGACAGAAAGTAGAATCTGCCCTTTGTAGCATTTTTCAAACGTCGCTTTAAATTACCTATTTCTAGTAGCTTCCTGTTCGTGCGGTGGGGACTTAGACTTATTATGAGAACTACTGAATGTCTGATAACTGACCTGCAACTGTCAGTACAAAGCCCCCGTAAAACGGTTACTGCTAAGTAAAAACGTCGTAACTTGGAAACAGCAGAGATTCTGATAAAATACTCGAATTTGTATTTTTTTGCTCCAAATGATCTCCCCAACAACCTACTTAAGTACTGTATTAAACATTTGAGTCATTCTGTATAGGCTAACCTAAGTTACGAAATGCACGAGAGCACACCAGTGTCAAACGCTGCTGTCTGGCGTCGCCAAACCACCACAACTTCGGGAATAAAAATGCCCTGTAACACAACACAGCAACGGCATGTTGACGATGATGATAACAACAACAACAACAATAACGCTCTATCTGTGGTGCGATTATAGGGAGGATTTAATAATATTGTATTTCAGAACGACTTGACTTTTAGACCAAAATTCGCCATTGATAAACACACACATACATACATACTTGCATTCACGATTCACGTATACATGCATAACTGTAAGAATCCGAACATACATACATAAATGCGTACACATTAAAAAGAAATAATTATATTTTGTCATTTATGTCTGACTATTGTGAATTCCGTGAAGTTTTATTCAAAGTTAAGTATTGGGGGAATTAATATAACAGTTCATTTCAATACCACGTGTCTGTGGGTGTCAAAAGAATTAATTGAAATGCAACGGTATTTTTATTGTTATTTCTGCGGTTTATGTTTAAAACGAATTTTTAGTGGTAATTATATTTTAGGTTTCTACGGTTAGAATGTAATTTCAA